CTTTTTCATTCCAATCATCAGTAACTATCAATGCATCTTGATTGAATGTTTGATCCATTTCAGACTGCAGAAGATAGTGAAAATCTTCAATTTCTTCATCTTCGGCATTAGTGGTTAGTGCATATATCTCAGTAACAGTCATATTAACCAGTCTTTCTCATAGGTGTGTGGATATTAGTATACATTTTATATTGTATTTCAGGATAGATCTTGAAATGCTTATTTTTACAATGAATATGACATTGTTGCTTTTTAATTTGTCATTCCTGGCATAGAAGACTGCATGATTGTCCAATTCTAAGTGACTAATCCCAGTCCATTTCCATTGCTTAGGTGTTCATAATTCAAAGGAAAAACTATACAGAAATTCAAGGAGTTATTTACAATCCACTCAGCACAGTAGACAGCTCTAGGGAAGATCTAGAGAAGATATCTTCTCTGAGAAGAGGAAGACATTAGGGACTGGGATAAGAAGTGATAGCAATATTTTACTTGACCTAGTTAATGTTTAGACGGATTTTTGCTTTATGATAATTTTGCTCAGCTACACATTTGTATTCCACATACTTTTCTATATGTACATTTCTAGTTCACAATTTAAACAGAAGAAAAAAGAAGGGAATACAGCCACCAGTTATAGCACCAGTAGCTTCCTAAGATCTTGATTAGAATAATGAGGTAAGTTCCTGAAGTCGATAGTTCCAGAGGCATCACTTGATTTCTCAGCTTTGTATTTGTGGGAGAGATGTCAGTTCCTCTGGCATCCTACATAAGTGGGACAGTTCTGGGAGTCATTCCTGCAGGTTCAGTCTAGGTATCTTTCCTCCACCACTTTCAAATGTTTTGTAAGCATTTAATTCCTTTCTCTTTGTAATATCTAGAGTGGCTTAGGTGAATGGCACATGAACCTTGTCTAGCATAGTCCATCAAGAGCAATTCAAGAAAAAAAAAATGGAATTTCCAATATGATGTATTAAAAATAACAAAGTAGAAGGGCTACTTTAAATTATACTGAAATTCATCACCCCTAAAAGACACATTAACAAAAGCATAAATAACAATATTTAACAGTTTGAAAAGTTGGTTTTTACTTTTTATAAAAGAAAAAGTGGTGGATGAGGAAAGGTAAAGCCTAGAGGTAGGGAGAGGAATGAAAAACACAGTTTTTGTTACCTGGAGTCTTGTATTCATTTCTAAGAAGTAAAAATTCTTCTTTGAGTCCACAAGGAATTCTACAGTTCCAGCAGAGGAATACTTTACTGATTTGGCAAGAGCTACAGCTTGCTCTCCCATTGCTCTTCGAGTCTCAGGATCTAAAAAAATACTAAAGATACAGAAAGACTATTTTTCTACACCTTGAACAAAAATCAAGTTATCATTTGTGTAGATTATACAAAAGCTTTTTTAAAAAGTTTACTCAAATGTAAGTCATCTGTATCAATTTAAGATTTTATAACATTAACTAAGCATGCTTAAATCAATCAACTTTAGTTTCTTTTTTTATGAAACTAACATTTAAATTTTCTACATACTATGACTTCAATCTACTTATAAAAAATGGAAGCACCTGTCAACTAGTAAAATTTAATATATATATTCAGAATTCCTTTAAGCTTAAATTATGAGAAAAATAAATGCTTAGACAATAATATATAACCTAATAAATTCTAAAAGCTTGTGTTTCAAAACACTAAATTATCTTCCAGCAGGCAAGTAAAGCAGAAATGTTTTCAATGAACCCTAGAAAGAATAATATCAAATCATTTCTGCATTTTGCTTCTAGGCAAGTAAGGCTCTAAGAAACCAAACACTAACTACTTTCCTACTGTGGATTAAAACTTCTCTAATTAGTAAGATTTAGATGACATTTTGTAATTTTTTATTATTATTATGGAATAATATAAAGAAGTCTGCTATGAATTAAATTGAGTGCCCCCTGCCAAATAAGCATTAGAATCCTAACCCTTATACCTGAGGATGAAATCTTGTTGGGAAATAGTCTTCTTCGTTAATTAGATACCTGTCTTAGTTATTTACTGCTGCTATAACAGAAAGAAACAGAAATTTATTTTCTCACAGTTAAGGAAGCTGATGTCCACGATCAGGGCTCCAGCTCTAGAGGAAGGTCCTTGTCTCATGAGTTTCTGTTGTTTGGTTCCCTAGTGATTTGCAAGTAGCATAGCATCTCTCTTTCCTCATCTCTGCTTCCTTGGCTGTTTGCTCAAAACCTTCTTTTTATATCTCAAGAGAGATTGACTTAAATCACACCCCACGCTAATACTACCTCATCCACACTAATACTACCTCATTAACATAACAAAGAAAACTCATTTCCAAAGAGGATTATAACCACAAGTATCTCCCTGCCATTCAGTTGACTGGACTCACAGTGACTCCACTGCATTTCCAAGGCTATAAATCTTTATGGAAACAGACTGCTTCATCTTTCTTCCACAGAGCAGCTAGTGGGTTTGAACCACCAACGTTTTGGTTAGCAGTCAAATGCGTTAACCACTACACCACTCAAAAAAAAACTCACTGCCATCGAGTTGATTCGACTCATAGAGACCACTCCTTGGGTTTCCAAGGCAGTATATCTCTATTGCCCAATCCTCCTTCTGAGCAGTGGCTTGGGAGTTTGAAGTGCCAGCCTTCTAGTTAGCAGTCAAATGCCTTAGACACTACACCACTAAAGCAAAAAAATCAAACTCACTGCTGTCAAGTCAGTTCCGACTCATAGCAACCCCTCCTTGCGTTTCTGAGGTGATACCTCTATGGAAGTAGATTGCCCAGCCTTCTTTCCAAGGAGTGGCTGGTGGGTTTAAACTGCCAGCCTTCTGGTTAGCAGTCAAACGCCTTAGGTATTACACTACCACTAGAGCTCCTAAAAGGATAATACCCACTGAAAACCAAGTCTATTGCTATCAAGTCGATTCTGACTCATAGAGACCCCGTAGGGTTTTCAAGTCTTTAAATCTTTATAGAAGTAGACTGCCTCATCTTCCCACAGAGGTGCTGATGGGTTTGAACCAACAACCTTCTGGTTAGCAGCCAAATGCCTTACCCACTATGCCACCAGAGCTCCTTCTGTAAAACACACACAAGGATTTTAAGGGGCAGAGAGTATAAGTTAATAGCAGTGAAATAATATGGGCAGAGATGGGGGAATGGTGACACAATGTTTACTATGTGACCACTGTCAATGAACTGTATATGTAAAAACTGTTTAAATAGTGTAGATATTGTTACGTATATTTTCACCCAGAAAAAGAAATAGAATTTAAAATTAATCAGTTTTTATCATCATATTCTTAAAACACATAGAAATTTCATTTTGTTCCAAATCTCAACCCAAATAGAAGAGCAAAAGTTTTCAGATAAAAATGAACCAGAAAACAGGAATAAAACTTAAAAAAAAAAAAAAAAACCTGATGTTAACAAGATAATGTTATAGAAAATCAGGAGAAAATATTTCGAACTGGAAACATTACATAAAAGTAATAAGATGACATAATAAAGGAAGTTTTATTTGGGGAAATAACCAAGGAATGGCATTTATAGGATTATCCAAAAAAAAAAAAAAAAAAGCAGATAACAAAAAAGAAGTCTGCAGTTTGTGTTCCTTCATAATTTTGTGTTATCACCACATCTCTACCTATTTCTAGCAAGTACTAAGATCCTATCAAGTAACTCACAAATCATGTACAAGAGAAAATCTAGTAATATAGCACCATTCAGAAAGGGGTTGGGCCAGATTATTGGATTTATTTTCTGTATTAATTAAAAGGTTATTTTATTTCACTGTCATGACAAAGATACTTAATTTGTCATTATACAGTTCAATTTCCTGTTCACATGAAAAATTATCATTATATTGACAGATTTTTTAAAATTCCTATTCAAAAAAAAAATTAACTGTTCCTCCTTAATGCAAACAGAATTTTCTTGAATTATTAGTGTGAACAATAATAGCTTCACTACTCTTCAGAGAAAGACTTCACTGAAATATCAATTATGGGACTAGGATAAACAGGGTCACTTAAATAAACAGTGTCACTTAAATAAATAGGGTTATCTTCATTTAAAGTTTTAAAGGGCTACTTACTTAATGAGGTATAAAAATCAATGTATTTTTTTCTGCAAAGGTTGTACTAAAAACATAGTGATAGTATCTAAAAAAAAAAAAAAAGAAACTCACGGGGAAAAAATTAATCTAAACCAAAAAAAACAAATAATAATAATAAACTCCAGAGAGAATTATTAATGAAATATAGAAGATAGTTTAAAAAAATATATGAGAAAAAATTCCATCACAGATAATAGCTGTGTTCACTAACATCTAGAAGATTATCAAGACAAAAAAAATTTATGTATGTGTGTATGTGTGTGTGTATGAGAAGTATACTTAAAGGCAAGAGGCATTAGTCTCAGAGAGGAAAAGAATAGTAAGATCCTTCCCTAAATTATCAGATGTTAAGAAATAACAGTAAGATAGGCATTAGTGGTCCTCTGCTTCTTACCATTTATGGGTATAAACAAATGAATAAAACATAAGAATAACAGTATGTTGATACTAACAAAGTGAGAAAGTTCTGGTTATCAACTGTTGCTTAACAAATCATCTGACAACTTACTAGATTACAAGAACAGTCATTTGACCATTCTCTCACAGTTCAAGGAGTACAGTTCTGGCTCAGGGTCACTAACTCAGCCGCAGTCAGATGATGTCCTGAGCTGGAACAGTAAGAGATTCAAGGAGCTGGGCCTGGGGCACCATCTCCCACTCATGTAGTATCAGGTCCTCTCCAGGGAGTTTATCCACTTGGGCTAGTTTGAACCTTCTCGCGATTATGGTGGCAGGTTCCAAAAGTAAGTAACCCAAGAAACAAGAAGTAGAAGCCGCCTTTTCTTTTTCTGAAACTGAGACAGTGTCACTTTTTCTATGGGTCACACGATTGCAAAATGGAGATTCAAGAAGAGAGGATACAGACCCATCTCGAAGGAAGGGATGTCACACAATTTTAGAGCTATATTTTAAATCTCTACGATATACTCCCTGGACAGCAATTACATCCCCCCTAAATGCAAATAAATAAATAATCACCAAAAAATTTCTCTTGTAGCGTTAAACTCAGGCTCAGGGACCAGGATCTTGATAGTTAAATAATGTCCAGGTAGGGATATGTCTCCAAGGGTGCAGGGGTGCAGTTCCTCCACCTCCTCCACCTCCTCCTATATGACTTCTCTTGAGCACAAGACTTGTGAACTAAAAAGACAAGTTAACTGCCCCCCATACATCCAACATACAATGGTGGTAAAGGCAAAGTATAACCATACAGCAACTCCTGTTCAGTAAGAGGGGAAAACAGAAGGCACAGCAATCACTGCAGAAAGCAATGCTCAAATCCAGCTGAGGTCAGACTGCTTATAGCCAGATCCTTGATTAGGACTCAGTCCTACCTTGTGGAAATAATTCTCCGTGGGTTTTGGCTCTGCTCTTTGAACTCTTGCTTCTATTCTCTGATATATCTTTCCTTTTCCATAAAATGTTGCCTGTCTTTGCAGCTAAGTAGTTTTTATCAGTCTAACTACTGAAGTTTGGGGATCTAAAGACCTCTCTTATTTTGAAGCATCTCTGTCCCTTCCAGTCAAAACTGGAAATGTTTTTATCAGAACAAGTCTCTTAAATTTCCATGTACATTTTCATGACTCTTACATGGATTTATTCCATTAGAGAAAAATCGTTAACTACTAATCTCTTTAAAATAAGTCATTCTGTCCCTTGGGGGGTTCCTTATGAAGCTACTATGAGACACTGTACTCAAGGATTTTAGGAGCACTACTGGGTGAAGGAAAGAATCTGCAAGATATTCATTTATGACTTTCCTCTTTTTGCAAGTTCACATAAGGCACTATTGCAGATCTTTCTGAAATTTTAAAGGATCTTATAGTCCCTTCTTAGGACCTCTGGTGCTGCAGTGCCTAAGGCATTTGACTGCTAACTGGAAGGCTGGAGGTTCAAACCTCACAGCCACTCCGCAGAAGGAAGATGGGGCAATCTACTTCCGTAAAGATTTACCTCCTTGGAAACCCAATGGGGGTCATTGTGAGTTGGAATTGACTTGCTGGCCCTGAGTTTGGTTTGGTTTGGTTTGATAGTCCCTTCTAGACTTTTTTTTTTTTGAGAATGCCTTACCATTTGTAGAAGCTAAAACTGAGAAACAATTTTATTTCTAAACTAAATCTTGGCTCCTTAAAACCAGTAACCAGTTGCCATCAAGTCAATTTTGACTCATAGCAATCCCATATGTGCAGAATAAAACTATGCCCCATAGGATTTTCTTCCAAGTCATCTCTGGGTGGTTTCAAACTGCCAATCTTCCCAGTTAGCAGTTGAGCACTTAATCGACTGTACTTCCCAAAGACTCCTTTAAGGCCCGTTATTTCCTTTCAACTTTGTTCAAAAAGTGAGCTTCACTCAACTACTCCTCTTGCATTTAACCATAGGCAGCCCTAAGAAGCCAAGGAGCAACTTTAACACAAGGTCTGGAAATCTCCTTAGATCAAGTTAGGCAGCTCCTTTCCTATTTTCCATGTTATTACAGTTGACAGTGTGGGCAAATTTTTCACCACTGAACAACAAGCCTTCTTTTTCTAAAAGCTTCCTATATCATTTTCTTTTTCCTTTAAGCCCTCAACAATGTCCTCAAAGCATCTATGAATCATTTCTTCTAGATCCTTTAGCCTTGAACTAATACTTTCTTGACTGTATTGTTCCAAAGCCACATGCTTTGGGATTTTAAAACACAGCACCCACTCCAAGTATCAAAATCTTTTCTACTTATCTACTGTTGTTTAAAAAAGACATATACATGTGTTTAATAAATAACTCCTAAACTTAGTGACTTAAAACAACAACTATTATTGTCTCTCATAATTCATGGGGATTGATGAGGTTCAGGTAGGTGGTTCTCCCTCAGATTTCTTACACAGCTATAGTCAGAGAGCGAATGGGGTTTGAACAGTGGAGCATAGGAGCAGCTGAAGGCTGGATAGGTATCTCTATCCCTTCCCATGTTGTCTCAGAGATTTTCCATGTGGTCATTCCATGTGGATTATAACGGGTTTTCTCATAGCATGGCATCTGGTTTTTAAGTGTAAGTGTGCCAAGAGACAGGAAATGGAAGCTGGAAGTTTCATTAGACCTAGGTCCAGAAACTGACACAACATCACTTCTACATATTCCATTGGCCAAGCAGTCACAAAGCACAGAATCAAGGGGAGCACACATAGATCATTTCCACCACATCAATGAGACAGGTACCCAAGGATTTCAGAGCCACGTTTTAAGCCAGTTTTAAAAATTAATATAAAGTCCAGTTTTGATTTTTATCATTTCCCTGTGACTAAAAATTAACTCTTACTTTTTTTTCAGAAACAATACATCATAGCAAGGCATGCTGGCTATCCTGACTATATTTCTTACTGCCTAGTAATTAAATAAGGAGCTTTGGTGGCATATTGCCTAAGACATTTGACCGCTAACCAGAATGTTGGTGGTTCAAACTCACCAGCCACTCCACAGAAGGAAGACCAGGCGATCTACCTCCGTAAAGATTTACCACCTTGGAAACCCAAAGGTGGTTGCTATGGGTCGGAATTGACTCAATGGCAGTAAGTTTGGTTTGGTTTTAAGTAATTAAATACTTATCCTCAATTAGAGACAGAAAAACAAATAGACTATGCTCTGGTTAACTAGTGCCACTCTGACAAGATCATACCACAAATGGGATGGCTTGAACAAACAGGAGTTTATTCTCTCACAGTTCGGGAGGCTAGAAGTCCAAGTTCCAAGTGCCAGGCTCTAGGGGCTATGTGAAAGCCCCTCGACCTTGGGCTTCAGCTCTGCTCCTTGCTCCCAAGCCCACTGAAGCTAGAGGCATCTCTTCACTCAGGCAGCTACTGGCTGCTGAAGCTAACAAGCCCAAGGTCAACAAATAAAATGGCACAATCCCAGTGTTACCAAACCACACAGCAGGCCATTAATTCAAGTCCATCGAAAGTCCCAAGGTCAGCAGAGCATGGCAGGCTGCTGAGCGATGACTCGGCTACATGCAGGGTTCAAGTGTGCCATAAGCTAGAGAACGTTCCCCAAGGCTTCTGCTTATATCCAGGAAGCAGACCACATTCCCTAAGGCAGCTACTCAGCTGCTCACAGTAGATTCCACCATGGAGTTGATTACCAGTCTCATCATGGGGAATACTATATCCAGCTGCCAAGCTACTCAACTAGGCCTTGCCAAGTTGACACACAAACTTAACTACCACAGACTACCAGAACCATTTTAAGAAGCCAAGATTTAGTTTAAAAATTAAAATTAAAAATAAAACCAACCTAGTATCAAATTAAAAATGAGGTTCTATGAAATGGCCACACCAAAGACATAAATGGTGACCCAGAGAAGTACCGAATGTGGCTCTGATAAATCAAGATGTTTCCAAGAACCATTCCCTACAAACCTTTTCATGATAGGACAAATTTAGGAAATTCAGGGTCAACTGTATGAAATCTTCCCTAATATTAGAGCCTAGAAGGCATGTATCCCAGAAATTGCCCAATTCCTGAAACACCAGGAGGGTCTATAATACCTATAGGCCTGTAAAGGTCACAGACATCTACACTACTTTCTCCCTTCTAATAAAACTCCAACTTATTTTTTCAAGTATCACCTAACTTTTATACTATTTACTTTAAAAGAAGGCAGGTACTGGTCAATGGGAGATAAATTATAACCATTCTAAGCCAGCATTTCTCTGGGAGGGCACTATCGGAATTAAGAAGGCAGGAGCATGTCACTTTTTTATTTTGCAAGACCTTTAGCTCCCTAACCCCTGTCCACAAAATGCTCTGGAAAAAAAAAATCACAAAATTAGAATGAGTAGTCCAAGTCAATCATAGTAGTTTCATTGTCATTTCTATTAACTACTTTGAAATGGGCATGGATATAATTCTAGCCAATGAGATGTGTTTCACTGATGAAAACAGAAATGCATTAGAAGGAAACATCTCTTCTTCCAACGTAAAGTCTGTAAACCATCATCATGAGTTGAGCCAGGACATCAACAATAGCAGTACAGAAAGATGGATAAAACACACTTTTTTTTTAATGACATTGTTGAACTAATAAATTAACCGAAGCTTTGAGCTGCCTTAACTCAAGAATGCTTATTACATTCATTTAAAGCAAAAAAAAAAAAGTGTCATTTCAACCTGTTAAGATGGGATTTGCTATTACTAACAACCCAACATCCCCTAGCTAATGAAATTTATGCCTAAGTCACTGAAGTCCTAAGAAGATCCAAGGGGCAAATTCTTCATTAGAAAAATGCACATTCATAGATTCTACTATGAATGTTAAACCAAAATTTAGCCAAAAAATGAAAAGGACATGTATGCCACCACAGCTCCAAAGAAATATTATAAATGTACACCAGAAGAGACTCTTACCTTGGTGCTTCCTCCACCACCTTTTGATTTCTTCTCTGAATTGAGCACTCTCTTTCATTAAGCCACAAAGCATTGCCATGTTTGTCACCTAAAACCTGAAAAATATGATTTCAAAATATAATAACCATACCCCCCAGAGTATGACCCAGTTACTTTTTTTCCACATAACAGCTCTTTATTTCTAAGAATCAAACCTCATAGAGCATATGTACCTCTGTTTCGGTTACTTTGTGCTGCACCGCTCTAACAGAAATACTACAGGTGCATGGCTTTAACAAACAGGAGTTTATTCTCTTACAGTGTTGGAGGCTAGAAGTCTGAGTTCAAAGTGCAAAGCTCTAGGGGCAGGGTGAAAGCCTTGGGCTTCAGCTCCACCTCTTGCTCCTGGCCCACTGGAGCTGGAGGCATTCCTTCACTCATGCAAGTGCAGGCTGTTTAGGCTGACAAACCCAAGGTTGGCAAGTAAAAGGGCACAGTCCCAAAATTATCAAACCACGGCAGGCTACTAATGCAAGTCCATTAACAGTCCCAAGATCAGCAGACATCATGGCAGGCTGCTGAACAACTTGGCTACATGCTGGATTCAAGTGTGCCAAAAGCTAGAGACTTTCTTCAAGTCTACTTCTTATATATATTGGAAGCAGACCACATTCCTAAAGCAGCTGCTCATGGCAGATTCTACCATGGAGTTGATTGCCAGTCTTATCATGGGGAATAACCACAACCAGCTGCCCAGTAATTCAAAACTAGTCCCAGCCAAGTTGACACATAACCTTACTACCACAACCTCTCTCAAAACATTTTTCTGGTTAATGTTAATAGAGGAAAACTTTATATACTTACAACATCAAAACTCAGTAAACCATTTTTATAAAAAACATTTGAAGAAAAAATTCTCTTGTTACATTTCAGAAACATTAGCATCAATTGTACAAATTTGCAAAATAAGAGTCATTAGCGTGACATATATTCTGGAACTCAGTGGTGCTTAGAAACAGTACCATAATGGTATTATAAACAAATATTTGTAGTTAATCATATTAAATGTTTGTTGATCCAGAAAGGATGTGTTATACATTTACATCCAAAATGATATTGCTACTTATGTGATTTTACTGTGCTTTATTTATATTACAGGAAATTGGTAAAAGGTGTGGGGTTTATATATAATACATTATGAATATTCCAATTTGTATTAATGGGAAATAGGCTAGAGTTGACAACAAAATATAGACCACCAAGTTATATTTGAATTTCATATAAACAAATAATTTTTTTCGTAAAAGATTAGACTTATGCATAGTTTATTCTTCTCTAAATTAGGTTTAGCTAGTCAATTCATTTTTTAAAGTTCTGTACATTTCCTAGTCATCCAATAAAAATGATCTTGATGAATAAATGAAGGGACTAAGTAACCAGAAAACAATACAAATAAAAAGGATTTGTAAGGAAGTTGGGAGCTCTGGTGGTGTAGTGCCTAAGACATTTGAGTGCTAACGAGAAGGCCAGCAGTTCAAACCCACCAGCCACTCCTTGGAAGGAAGGTTGGACAATCTACTTCCATAGTGATACCGCCTCGGAAACCCAAGGAGGGGTCACTATGAGTCAGATCCGACTCGACAGCAGTGAGTAGTAGGAGGAAGGGAAGTTAATCCATAACTACATATTGTATTTTTTTTAAAGTTTTAATAAGGTCCTTTACAAATCTATGTACTTAATGGAGAAAAACCTCCAAGATATGCTGCTTCATTGAAATAAACTAGCTCAAATACTACAAGGCCTTGAGCATCCCTGGATTCTGCCTGCAAAAGGACAGCAGTGCTGTGGCTAAAAACCACTTGTTTAAGCCAAACAAAGTGGTGTCATTCATCATTCACATTGCCAGTGTACAATTTCAGCATGGGAAAGGTACATGACGGCTGTGTTTAAAAAAAAAAAAAAAAAAAAGGTGATATTCATGCATATACTTCATCGAATAACTTTGGATTAAAAAAAAAAAATCACTGCCATCAAGTCGATTTTGACTCAGAGTGACCCTTCCTTGGGTTTCCAAGGCAGTATCTCCATGGAAGTAGATTGCCCAGATATTCCATAGATATTCAAAGAATAGTAACAGTACTTGCATCCAGGAATAGAAACTTGGAGACAAGGTTGAAAGGGATACTAATGTTTCACTGAATACTTGTCTTAGTTTCCTAGTGCTTCTGTACCACAAGTCAGTGGCTCAAATTCACTGCTGTCGAGTTGAATCCGACTCAAAGCCACCCCTCCTTGGGTTTCCTAGGCAGTATCTCTACAGCAGTAGATTGACCAGTATGCCTTACAAGGAGTGGCTGGTGGGTTTGAACTGCCACCTTCTGGTTAGCAGTCATATGCCTTAGGCAATATATCACCAGAGCTCCCTCTTACAGGTGGTTGTTGTTGTTGTTGTTGTTTTTGTTGTTGTTATGTGTCATTGAGTCGGACCCAACTCATAGAGACCCCTCCTTGGGTTTCCGAAGCGGTATCACTATGGAAGTAGATTGCCCAACCTTCCTTCCCAGGAGTGGCTGGTGAGTTTGAACCATCAGCCTTCTGGTTAGCAGTCAAGTGCCTTAGACACTGCGCCACCAGAGTTCCCAGAAAGAGACAGCCAGGCTCTCTGGCAGGCTCAAACCGATAGCATTGTGTGTGGCAGGTGACTACCTTATGCCTGAGGCCAATCCCTAGGGCCTCTTACAGGTTAGGAGGCTAGAAATGTAGGGCTCCAGCAGTAGGGGAAAGCGTTCTGTGTCTGCTCTAGTGGATAACATCCTTGTCTCAGCTTCTTCTCGGAATTCCTTAGAGTTCCCCACATGGTATCTATCTTTCCCCCATTGCTGCTTGCTTGCTTTTGTCCCTAAACTGTTCTTTTTATATCTCAAAAGTGATTGGGTTTAAGACACACCCAGCACTGATATGGTGCCATTAACATAACAGAGAAACCTGTATCCCAAATGGGATTATATCCACAAGTACAGGAGTTAGTATTTCAACACATAGTTTGGAAGGACACAATTAAACCCATAATAATATTCTTTATTATGTACAAAAATTACATAATATAAATAATTAAATGAAGAAAAATGTTGTTGTTGTTGTTATGTGCCGTCGAGTCAGACCCGACTCATAGCGACCCCTCCTTGGGTTTCCGAGGCAGTATCACTACGGAAGTAGATTGCCCCATCTTCCTTCCGAAGAGTGGCTGGTGGATTTGAACCACCAGCCTTCTGGTTAACAGTCAAGTGCCTTAGCCACTATGCTACCAGAGCTCCCATGAAGAAAAATAAGTACATTTAAAATCCTCTAAATATAGATCAGATAGGAAAACATCAGTATTCCCTCCTTAGGGTAATGAGACATTTTCACTTACATTTTAAAAATATCCTACACTGCATGCCATGGCTAATTTTAAAAAATTTAAAAGTTGATATAGATATAAAATTACATAATTTAATACAATAAATATTTATGACATACTGGTAATATGGATAACATTGAGAAGAATGGGAATTCCATAACACTTGATTATGCTCATGAGGAACCCGTATATAGACCAGGAGGCTGTCACTTGAACAGAACAAGGGGATACCGCATGGTTTAAAATCAGGAAGGATGGGAGGTTCCAGTAAGATGGTGGAATAGGCAGACAAACTAGACAGACCCTCTTCAACAAAGAAAGGGGGAACCAATTAACACAGATACAGAAGATAATCCTGGAGCCCTGAGCTTTAAAAGGAAGGATACAGAAGTGGACTAAACTTCAACTAGTAAAAGAACCTGTATGAACAAAATGAAAAAGGAGACGTACGGAGCTGTGGACTATTAGCAATCCTGAAGGCACAGACAGCTTGGATATTTCCAAGTGGTCGTAGGACCTAAGAATTAACCTAAAGATTGGTCCTGCTAGCCAGGGGCTGCACGGAGGACTGCACTAGTTGCTGGTGAATGAAAGGGGAAACAACAAAGAGGGAGACAGGCTGAGCTGTGGACTTCTGGCTGTCTGGAAGGTGCAGCCATTTTGCATGTTTACAAGTCTTTCAACCATTTTGGACATTTAAAGCAACAGCATTCTCTCAAATTTCAGGGACCTAAGAATAGGCTCCACTTGCTAAGACCACAGGGACATTCCACTGAGGACTGGAAAGATGCAACATTCCTGCTTTTGCTCTTGTACCCCACACCCTCTTGGTGAACAAAGGTTTGGCCTTCCCTCACTCCCACCCACCATCTAGACCAGCAGGAATTCCATCCCAGTCTGTGTGCTCTGACGGAGGGTGGGTGCCATGCCCAGATTTTTTCCTTTTTTTTCTAGTTTGCTTGTTTTCTCTGTTTTCAAAATTATCATTATTATTTGTCCTTTTTATTACTATTCTTTATTCTTCCCTTCCCAGGTTCTAGTTTTCAACATCATTCATCACACAAATAAAACAAATGAAAAAGAACCACACAATCATATCAATCGATACAGAAAAGACATTTGAAAAAATCCAACACCCATTCATGATCAAAACTCTCAGCAACATAGGAATAGGAGGGACATTCCTCAACATAATAAAAGGCATATATGCAAAACCAGCATCAACATTATTCTCAATAGAGAGAGACTGAAACCATTCCCCTTGTGAACAGGAACCAGACAAGGATGCCCTTTATCACCATTTTTATTCAATATTGTATCGGAAGTCCTAACCAGGGAAATAAGGCAAGAAAAGGCATCCAAAGTCGTAAGGAAGAAGTCAAACTATCCCTATTTGCTGATGATATGATGCTATACATAGAAAACCCAAGTGACTCAGTAAAATAACTACTGGAACTAACTGAGAGATTTAGCATAGTAGCAAGATACAAGATCAACATACAAAAATCAGTTGGATTCCTATGGATAAACATACAAAAATCAGTTGACTGGAGATCGCAGTCATACAAAAATCCGACTCACTGCCATTGAGTTGGATCAGACTCATAGCGACCCTTCCTTGGGTTTCCGAGGTGGTATCACTATGGAGATTGTCCAACCTTCCTTCTGAGGAGTGGCTGGTGGGTTTGAACCACCAGCCTTCTGGTTAGCAGTCAA